GTTCAGTGTTGAAAAAATTCTCATCTTTTACTTTATTGGATGCTTGCAAAATTATCAGCAGCTGAACATAAAAGTAAAAAGCAAAAACTTAAAATGTAAACCAAAAGTGAGAACATTCATGATATGAATTAAAAAAATTTTTAAAAAGGACACAAAAACCTACAGAATATAGTCAGTGTAAATCATGCTTTATCACATCATGGCAGGGCTCTGGAGGCTGCTAGCATTTGAGAATAGCTACCTGGGTAAAATACTACTTTTTTCTATTGCTCCAATTAACCTTGTACAATCTCAGATCATTTTTTGCAAAAATTTCATATGAATATTAATTTCCAAAATGATGAAAGAAGGATTTTATGTTTTTGCTTTGGCATGTGAGACCATAAGTGACTTGAAAATACCTCTCTGTCAATATTTAATAGATAGATTGGAAGATAGATATTAAAATAAATGTAGAAATGATTATTTAGTGAAAGTAATGGTCCACAGATCACTAAATGTTAGCTTGACTATTTCTGAATAATCAACAGCTTGTCATTGCAATAGTAAAATGGGAAATGATGGTAAGCACATCATTAAACAAGTGAAATGTGTTAGACACAGTGGGGCTAATTTTTTTTTTAAACTGAAAGTAATTTACTGTGTTTGGCTCCGGTTCAGCACAACTGGAAAAAAAGACTACTACCCTATTACAAAAGAAAGGAAGAGGAAGAGCTGTAAGTGGTAATTTTTTTCCATAAAGAAATAAAAATTCTTTGTTCTTGTATAACTCCTTCTACTTCAAGGAACTTCATTTTTACACTTTATAATCATGAATTCACTAACCAGCCCACAGCCCATCTGTGAATAAATATATCTGTTACAGATGAGCAGAATTGAGAATGATCACACAGTAAGCTGGCAGCAAAAAAGGAATCAGACTGAAACACAAATTTCAAATATACAGCTGAGGCACAAGGGATAATGCTTCCCAAAGGTTGCCCACATCCTAATCCTCACACCTGTGAAGATGTGAGGTTGCATGACAAAGGAGAATTAAGGTTGCAGATAGAATTAAGCTTGCTAATCAGTGACCTTAAAATAGGAAAAGCAGCCTGGATTATCCAGGTGAGTTAAATACAATCACAAGGGTCCTTGAAAGTAGAAGAAGGAGAGTAGAAGAGAAGACCAGGGTGTTGTGCTGTAATGTGATGTAGAGGTCTTGAACCACTGTTGTGGACTCTGAAGTGGAAAAGAAATGTGGTAGCCTCTAAAAACTGGAAAAGGAAACAAACAAACAAAGATTTTCCCCTCAGAGCCTGCTGAAGGAATACATCCCTGCCTACACCTTGATTTTAGCACAGTGAGACCCATGAGACCTACAACTACCACAAATAAGTTTGTGTTAATTTGTTATAGCAGCAAAAGGAAACTAATATACAGCTGCATCATCAATTAGGAACAATTTCGTGCAAACATAATCATGGAAGACTATCAATAGTCAAGCAACCAAAAAATGACATTTAACTTGGAAGACAAGTCCATTTTTTGAAGTCATAAAAGTAGAAGCAGAAAGAATTTTTGGCTTAAAGAAATATGAAAAAGAAAATATGTAAGAAGAATTTTTTTTCATTTCCACTAGATCACTAGAAGAAAAAAGGGATGAATAAAAAGAACACACTGATCCAAAGGGCGAGGTAGGAGTTTTTAAAATGCAAATTGGTATTGTGAATAGTGTTGCAATAAATGTGTGTGCAGGTATCTTTTTTGTAGAATGATTTGGGTTCATTCCCAAAAGGTATATTCCCAGAAGGAGGATTGTGGGGTTGTATGTGAGGTCAATTTTTAGATATTTTAAGAATCACCAAACTGTTTTCCACAGAGGTTGTACTAGTTTATACTCCCCCAACAGTGTAGAAGTGTTCCCTTTTCCCTTCATCCTCTCCAGCATCTGTTGTTTTTTGAGTGAGCAAAAACATGGAACCAACTGTGCTGCCCATCAAAAGTAGACTGGATTTTTAAAATGTGGTGCATATGCATGATGGAATATTACACAGCCCTAAGGAAGGGCAAAATTAAGAACTTCGCAGCAACTTGGATGGATTTAGAGTCTGTAATACTCAGTGATCTATCATGGAAACAAAGAACTGAGTACTACCTGTTCGCACTCATAAGTGGACCCTGAACAATTATCATAATTCTATAAGAAAGGGATTGGCAGTAGTGGAAAATTGCTAGGGGAGGAAGCAGGGGGTGGAGGGGGGTGGGCATACTTCGTCAATAAGGGTACCAGATCTCAAACCAGGTGATGTGGGGACCAAAGTAAGGCTCAATCTTTACCTGTACAATGACCATTTGTATACCTAACCCTGAATTGTAACCCACATCTTTAAAATAAAAGTTAAAATAATTAAAATAAAATGCGAATTGGAATGGCCTTCTAGGAGTTCTGGAATCTGTCTCTAGGATTCTTTAAGTTTTATGTTGACCAATCTATTCTATGCACCATGAATGGTGTAGATATTGACTTGCCTGATGACAGAGTTTAGATTAAACATTCTCTCGTGACCTCCTCCAGCCTAAATATTCTATATAGATTCTACTCAATTGAATATTGAGTCTATTCAATTCCATGCCACAAACATATATTGCCTAACTACTCAGTATAAATTATTCTAATATGAATAACCAAAGAAGACATACTCCCTGACTTTAAGAAGTTTGCAATACAATAGTTAACCAAGGCGAATAGAAAAACAACTATATTCAAGCTAGACAAGAAGATAATTAGGGATGGATAAGTGACATCTTGATTAAAAACTCATCAAATATATAAAAATCAACGCATTTTTATTGATCCCAAAGCAAACAATCTTTGTCATCATTGGGGGTCATCAGGGCACCAATTTATAACAAGAAAAATGTAACCTGTCTCTTAAAAACAGTATACATGGGAAATAAAAATGTAGATGAGAGAAAATTCTTCTTTATCATTGTCTAAAATAGGCAGAAGGGGTGACCGAATTAGAAAACTGCCATTTTACAACCCCTGAATAAAATAATGTCATCAACAGATACTAAAACTATGAGGTAAAAATTTGATGGGGAATTTTACAATAGAGAGATCAGGCTGAGACCACCTAAACACACACACAGTCTTAGGATCACTACACAGAACAGCCGTTATGTACCACTTTTTGTGCCATTGGGAAATACATAGTACTTCATAGAAAGTATTATATACCTCCCTCCAAAAAAGCTGAATCCAAATTGAATACAGCCTCCAGATTTATTGATCTTTTCATAGGAGATACGGGATAGAGGAGCCAGTTCAAAAAACACAGAATGGAAGCAACCAGTTAAATATGGACATTTTGTATGATAAATGACCCCATTTCTCTAGAAATCATGACATGTAAAAATGGAAGGAAGAGAAATTATTACAGAATACAGGAAACTTAAGAGACATAATCAAATGTATCATACAGACCTTATTTGGATCCTGATTCAAACAAACCAAGTCTAAAAAGGCATTTTTAAGATCACCAGAGAAATTTAAATATGGACCACATATATAATGATATTCTGAAAGTATTGCTATAATGTGATAAAGACATGGTGTTATTTAAAATATTTTTTTCTCTTATAGAGCTACATACTGGAACATTTTCAGATAAAATGTGTTATCTAGTTTTGCTTTAAATACTCAAGCAAAAAACAGGTATGAAAAAATACACAGAACAAGATGAGCAAAACAATGGTGTGTGTTCAAGCTGCATGATGAGACATGAGGGTTCATAGTGTTCTCCCTCACTATAAGATGGAAATTTTCCTTAATAAAAAATTTGAAAGGTTGAACACAATAATAAATACATAAGAGTCCCTAGTTCATTTAATCAACCTTTATCATGGAAACAGTGAAAGGTTGAAATATTAGTTAGTGCGAGAAATTTTCTGAATACATTTTTAAGTAATTTGATAGAAGTAATTTGACTTCTATCACTTTAATAATTGAATGCCTTTCACCTCATATGGTAAAAAGGGTTACAATTGACCAAATTCTCAATTTCTATGCCCCCTCCCAAATCTATCATAAAATATCACTCCTAATGTCCAATGAAAAATGGGAGTAGATCCACCTCTATCTGTGTGAGATAAACAAACAGCTTCTGGTCACTTTTGATAGTAAGGAGTGAACATAGGGGAGAATGTTTGTAGGGTTCCCTATGAGACTTCTCTATAAGAAACAAGAGGCTTCCAGACAAATAGATCCATCTTCAACATTCCCTGAATATATGCATAAATGCCAGAGCTGATATCAAGTAGTTGAATGTTCAGAATTAAACTTCTCAAGTTCATAGAAAGGCTTTTTAGCAACGATTCTAGCCCTGGAACAAAATATAAATCTCATATTAGACTTTTCAGAAAGTCTTTAAAAGTATTCACAATAGAGGATACCTTTTTTTTTTTTTTTTTTTTTTAACTATTCTTTAAAGGATTTTATTTGCAACTAATTTGTCTGGAGAAGACTTGTAGGTGACCCACATTCTAAAATTGCATTTTAATGTGATTAACAACACTGTCAAAGAAATACACAATTTTATAATACATAGAGAAACTTTAAGCTTTTAGCCTCAAATACTCTACATTTTTAAGAGTATGTATTTTTTAAAGCTAGACATCCAAAACTCTATGGTTATAATCTTCTACCAGAAAAAAGTAAAGACACAGGAGGAAGGATCATTAGTCCACATAAGCTATGTTCCTGAGGGCTAAGTCCAGGTATTTCAGCTAATTTTTTCCTTGTGCATTTTAAAGTTACGTGGTCAGGGAAAATGAAGATGATTCTTTCCTCCTGCAATAAACGTTTTAGTGAAAGAAATTGTACTATGGCTGCCATTATCATGCAGATGGGCTGTAATTCTAGCGTTTCGGTTCAGCGAAGGAAGTAGCTGAACTCCTGCCACCTACCGGGGCCCTCGACCACTCTTCTTTCCCAGTCTGATACCCAAAGCCCTTACCAACTACAGCCTCCGTGGACTTCCCTTCCGCCGGAAGAGGGAAGTACTGATTTGGAGAAATGTTGCTGCCGTATCCCAGGAGGAAACCTTCAAGCTTCACGTTTGGACTTGGACGCAGGAACTTCAAGAAGACGGAGTCACTCGTGGTGTTGATGTGGACTTTCAGGTGTGGCTTCTTTCCTAGCGATGGGAATGAAAACATGGGTGGTTACTTGGCCTTTTTAGCATCCCACGCAAACTCCCAGCAAGGCATGGTTACTGGATGCTTTGTTCTGGGAAAATATGCTACTGACTTTGCTCCTCAGCATCCCAGCACACATACCCAAATGCCCCGAATTAGCCGTTTTCTTTGAAATTAAGTCAGTTTTCTCTTTGAAATCAGAAAATGGACTCAATAACATAAAGCAGCCTAGAATAAAAGGTAAGATCTTAGTGTTCAATCCATGGTAGTTATTATCCAGCAAGTGGATGGAATTGGGGCCATATTGGCTATTTACAGTCGATCGGATGGTTCGCTTTATACTCGCTGTCTGGGTATGGTGAAAGGAGCTGAATTTTCTTATTGGTAAAATTAAATTACAACAGCCTGGAACATCCCAGCCTCCTCCATTCTACCCTCAGTGCCACACCCAGGGGTCTTAGTCATTGACAGAGTTGGAAAGGAAGACAAGAAGGACGATTCTGGCAGAGGGGTAACTGAGATGGTGGAAGAGGGAATTCCGGAAGGCAGAGAAGGGTTGAAGAGGAAGATGATTAGATCCATTGGGAGTTCACTGGGTCAGTGAGGCAAGTACATGGAGATACCCAGCATTGAGTGGAATATTTAAGTGTGATGCTCTGGAATGGCGAAGGGAACGGACGGTCTGGGTGTCATTAGCCTTGTAAGTGATAATTGAATGCATTTTCTCAGGCTGGAAAGTGAAAAGAAAGACTTTTTTTTTTTTAACTACTAAGGCAGCAGGGACAAATAATCACACTACCCAAAGGTCTTGACAAAGCTGCGAGAAAACACACTGTCTTTTTTCTGTGGAGCCAGAAAGAAGTGGGTTCAAACCCCAGCTTTGTGATTTATTTATCACGGTGGCCTCTGGCAACGCACTGAACATGCTTGAACGTTACTTTTCTGGCTTGTAAATGGCGAGTAACATCTTCTTGCTGGGTTATTTGCAACAGGGGTCCCCATCCCCGGACCGTGGACCGACACTGGTCCACAGCCCGTTAGGAACCAGGCTGTACAGCAGAAAGTGACGAGTGAGCGGAGCTCCGCCTCCTATCAGATCAGCACAGGCATCAGATTCTTATAGGAGTGCAAACTCTACTATGTACTGCACGTTGTAGAGATTTAGGTTGCCTGCTCCTTATGAGAATCTAAGGCCTAATGATCCCTCTCTGCTCCCCTTCCTATGGAAAAATTGTCTTCCACGAAACTGGTCCCTGATGCCAAAAAAGTTGGGAAGATTAGTTATAGTCCAAATGGCACAACCTTAAAGCTGACGTGTAGCAATTGCTCCATAAGTGCTTACAAATACTGGCCCACAATCCTTTAGTCGTGATTCAAACATACAGAACATTTTGTATTTTTTTGTAATTTCATCTCAAAATCATTTGGTAACAAACTCCAATCAGAACCATCATGAGGTAATTTAGTCTTTCTTTAATCCCACTATGTGAACACTCAAATGTTTCACTGAAGAAATGTGTTTAGTTAAATGATACTGATCAAGATTCCACTGAAGAGGTTATGCCATATATTGTCTAGGCATCCTAGTTCTTTTCTAAAACACTCAGTCCCTGGATTCCAATCTTGTCTGGCTTCAAGGGTTCTAGATAAGGGATGGTGAAGCCTGACTTATTTTCTTTCCTTATTCCCCAAATATTTAATATTTTAAAAATATTTTGCTTGTTGAGAATACTACACTTACCAACTTAATAATTTGTTGAGAATACTACATTTACCAACTTAATAATACTACATTTACCAACTTAATAAGTCTTAGATTGTATTAATACCAATCATCACATCTGTACAGCATGGTCTCCCCGAGATCATCACACTGAATTTATTCTACTCCAGTCAAAGTCAGCCCCAGCAGCTTCAATAAAGCTACAAAAAGGACTCAATTAGGCCTTTGGAAAAAGAAACACAACTCTTTATTGGTAGTGGGGATTATTCACCCCTCAACCGCTAGCACCTTTGTTTTCTTCTATGTGCATAGTACTTTGTACCTTCCAAGAACTTCATGAAATGTTTATAATCTTGAATCTAAGATTGCTAATCTTACACCCGTGACAAAACTGAAACCCAGAGATATTGAGTGTCTTATCCAAAGTTTGAGAAAGAACCTTACAGCTCATGTAGTGCGATCCTTCCAAATGAGATTGAGGCCCCTGTATGTTGACACCCTGAACGTTAAATGCAGGGTCACAACTGTATTTCATGTTTTCATGAGGCTAAACTCTTTTGCTCTTTTTTTTTTTTTTGAGAACTTTGTCATTACCCAGCATAGTAAGGAGCAGTCAAGCCACAGACCATAATGCTCAAATTGATGTCAACTACTGATGCATTGTGCTTAACTTCACCAGATTTTGATAAGATTTTATATTTCAGGTAAAACACAGATTTTTGTCCAAGCCAAATTTTTTCCTTTTTTTAGTAATGTGCCTAGGTTAACTCTAGAGTTACTCTATCATGCTCAATAGAACAGAACCAGTGTAAGTCAAGCTCATATTCTGCTACTTTATAAAGTCTCACAGTGAATCCAAACACAGCTAACCTATTTCCACCACTTAGTTGGGAAGGAGATTTAAGAAATTTTTGTGCACTTAGGCTGTACTCGTGTTTGACAATGAGCCAAGAGTCACAGCATCATCATCACATTAGACCTTTGCTTGTGGACTCTGGCCTGAAGGACCACATTATTTCTCCCCTGGGAAAGTGGAAAAAATGGCTACACCAAATGAAAGAAAGGAAGGCTGTCTACTTTCCCAATTAAAGTAGAATGATCTACTCCCTGTACACTGGACTTTTCATGACTCCAGTCTTTTTCCTTTTTTACTAACAATGTAAGTCAACCAATATATCCATAACATATTTTTTTAGGCATTTAGTTGTTCTACTTTCTCTAAAATTTCAATTCATACTACTCCCTAAAGCTAAACTTAAAATGTTTTGAGAGAAATACATGTAGACAAATTTCACCTCAATACAGCATTATACCCTTAATATTTTAAGACCATCATCCCAGTTCTTTTTTTTTTCTTTTTTTTTTGACACAAGGTTTCATTAGGTTGCCCAGGTTGATCTTAAACTCCTGGGTCCAAGAGATTCTCCTGCCTCAGCCTTCCTATAGCAGTTGAGATTACATGAGATTACAGGCACATGTCACTATGCCTAGCTACAGGTCTTCACTTAGAACTAGTAAATAAAATCCCTTCATTGTCTTACCATGCATTATTTCTTCTCTTATCACTTCTCAACATATCTTCATTTGTATAATCCTCTCACATTCTGCAAGGCATATGAGGTTCTGACCCTATACCTTTACTCTGGCTGCCCACTCAGTATGAATTCCCTCTCTCTTTGGTTGACCTTCTCTACATATTGACTCATCCAGTTATTACCCCATTGACCTTTTCAGTGGTCAGCAAACAGTTTAAGCAAGTTTTCCCCCTTCAGTCTAAATAAGTTTGTCAAGTGTTTTTGTTTTTTTTTTCAAATAAATATTTGCTATTTTATACTCTTGGAAAATTTCTCCAATATTTGGGGTTATGTCTATGCGCCTTCTATATCAGTGTTTAATCTTTGATAATATATCTGTTTTCATTCTGAGTAATTCTGATTTAATGACTTAGAACACTAGTCACGTAATGACAGTTATCTTTCAATAGTTAACCTGAAGACCTCTGGTGAGTGACTTCAGGTGGAGAGAATAGAATACAACACAACATAAGCTTAACTAGTACAATATCCATAAGTAAAATGATATATATGTCACTCTGAAAAGCCCAGGAGTGGAAAGAAATAAGAATACTGGAAGAAAATGTGATTGTACCTTATACAGGAACAAAGCCTATGTCAATAGGAGTGAGAGAAAATAAAAACAGAATGTGGGAAGGCACACTGGTAGGCAAAAAGATTTCATATTGGCAGAGTCTTGGATGATAGTAGTTTCTACTCCTCTGTTTGCAGCAACTTAGGGTATCTCTAAGTTATTTTAAAATTAAATACATGATTTGCAGTATCCACAACAGTAGGCAAGGTGGTGAGACTGGAAAAGCAGATAAAAAGTGGGCTACTATAAGTTCAAGGAACTCTCTGGATCAACCAGAAAAGGCAGATTGCTGTTAGGGGCAGGTGTTGGGCAGACTTTTAATGTTGACCCAGAATTCTGAGTGACTGTGGTCAATACCAGTCAAGTTCTGCAAAAGAATAGAGCCCTAATATACAGTGCTTAGTGACACCAGCTAAACTATCATGGACATCCAGTCATGGACCTGTGAGAAAGAAACCACCATTACAATCCATTCAGTAGGAGGAATTCTTTCATGTTTAATCTTTCATAAGGTTATCTTACATTCTACAAAATGTTTCAGATTGTGGTTTCAATTGTTGACATCAGGTTGGTTAAGAGGACAAAATTATTTCAAGAGACAAACTGCAAAATATTAATGTTCTCTTCTAAATAATACATATTAGTGTAGCAACAATTAGCTTATATTCAATTAGGCAAACTCTAACAAATAAACTAGAAATATTCTAAATAGCAGGTTTGGGCTTAAACCATATCTGGTACAGTATTAATTTCCATAATACACTAAGTTAAAAAATAGGTATAATACTTATGTCAAGAAAATAGTGACTCATTTCACAATTTAAAACATAACCCTAATCTTATCTGTAGCATGTTACCCAAATCTTATCCATAACATATTCCTCTTTTTTTGTACACTTTTCACCTGTAATACCAACCTCTAATCTTACTCAGCCACTTATTTCATTATACAAAATCAAATTTCAAGATATCAAAATAAATCAGTTTCTGTCAGTTGAGGTATGACATGAAACATGATGTGAAAACCTGATAAACTGGACTAGATCAAATTTTACAAGTTTTAAATTTTAAAAACTAACAAGAAAAAAGAAAGGCACACTACATATTGGGACAAAATGTTTGCA